ACTGTTGAACCATTATCTATCTATCTATCTATCTATCTATCTATCTATCTCAATCTGTTTGTTATCTACCTATCTATATTCATTTTCTATCTGAAAATTTTCCTTATCTATCTATCTATCTAGCTAGCTATCTATCTATCTGAATTTATGCATATCTCTGTCTATCTTTTTCTATATCTAACTCTCTATATATATATTCGTGTAAATTCAAAACTATAAATAGCGTGTACTGTAAATTTACTAAATATAATTACACTGATGGCTACAAAACACGAATTATGAACACGAACTATGTACACTCAAATTATACACTGCCAAGTGCCACGAGACATAGAACGCTGTGAAGAGCCATGAACTCTCATATTTTAAAGTGACACGGCACGTAGTAGAAAACCTAATATATATATATATATATATATAAGTTGAATATATAATTTTAAGCTTTATGCGTAAAACTGGTCAATATCACTGATAGAGCGTATAGCGTGAAGATTGCGTTCAAGCATGAACTGTCACCGCTCGGTTTCGACTACATTGTCCCTATATATATATATATATATATATATGTGTGTGTGTGTGTGTGTGTGTGTGTGTTCTGTTTATACGCTATTTTTTATGAATACACTTATTTGCGTAAATGCTAAATGCTCTGTTCTTTTAATTAAATAGTATTAATTACATTTACCGGCCTGAATATTCGAGAAATTTCGTAGAAAATATGGCTTTTCCCACAGGAATCGAACCTGTATCCTATACGGAACTACCATTAAGTAATTGGAGCTTTGCTTAACCGGAAGTACTCTGTAGCTGAACGGTCAGATTACGCCATGGTTAATGGGAGTTTTGTATAGGATACAGTTTCGATTCCTGTCGGAGAACTCCGAAATTTCTCGAACATTAAGGCCGGTAAATGTAATTAATACTGTTTAATTAAAACAGAGCATTTACTCAAATAAGTTGTATTCATAAAAAACTAATGTATAAACAGAGAATCTATTAAATATTTGTCGGACCACCGCCTATATATATATATATATATATATATATATATATATATATATATATATTTTAAAAATCCCCAAAATTGGTTTCAACCTTACGATATCCTCAGGTGATTTTATCAGAACGTTTTATTTTATTCAAACAAATCTAAAAAAAAAAAAGGCGTTAAGAGGTAATTTGATAAAAAAAAAATTGCCTGAGGATACCGTAAAGTTGAAACCAAGGTAGCTGATTCAAGTGACCTCTTGATTAGTCTTAGTGGCATTATCTCCTTGTTTGGGTGAATTGATAAAAAAAAAAAAGAGCGGATTCAATAGACTTCCTGATTTTTAAATTAGTCTTAGTGGCATTATCGCCTTGTTTGGGGTAAATTGATAAAAAAAAAAGAGCAGATTCAACTGACCTCCTGATTTTTAAAGTTAAAAGATCTACGTGTCATTTTTATTTTATTTTATTTTTTCACACGTGTGTTGGGCACTTTTTAATCCTACTGTTCCCTGGTCTGATTCAACTCTGACCATTAACCTTTTATGTATCACACACACACACACACACACACACACACACACACACACACACACACACACACACACACACACACACATTATATATATATATATGTATATATATATATATATATATATAACAATGTATACGCCCACTTGTAAATAACAAGAACCTAAACAGTATTTAGCTGAATTATCAGGTATAGTGGGGTGCTGAAAATTGTTTCTACCGACAAAGAAGAAATCCCAAAGCCATTTCTGATGTTTATTCATTTGTTTACATTTCGGGAAAATGTATTGTGCAAAAATTTTTCACCACTTCCTCGTAATTACAAACACTTCAGTGTTAATAATATATCTATATGTGATAAACTCTCTCTATCTCTCTCGCTATCTATCATTCTCTATATATATATATATATTAGTTCAGACACTATTATTCATTCTACTAACACCCTGTATGTGTTTGTGTGTCTATATATATGTGCGTGTGCGCGTCGTTGTGTTGTTTTATAAATCCTTGCAGTGGAAAGCTGAGAAAGTTTTTTTTAAGAATCTTTTATTCTGTGTTCATGTGGGAAGATAATGTTGCGCCAGATTTGCGATTGCTGCAAGTTTTTTATGTAAAAACTTATCTAGGTGCAGGTGCGTTTGTGTGCATGCATATGTGTGCGTATGCATATGTGTGTGTGTAGTTGTGTTTTTTTGCAATGTAAATCCTTTCAGTGTATAGCTGATAATTTTTTTTTTTTTTTTTTTACGAATCTTTTATTCCAGCCTGAGTTCATATGTGAAGATTCTGTTGCGCCAGATTTGAGATTATTGCGGGTCTATCTTTCCAATTAACGTCGGAAATTATTTTATCTAAGCTTAGAGAAACGTCACCCATCCCCAATGTACAACTACTCTAGCTACCGAGTACATCAACCGTCACAATTATTTGTAAAAACATAGCAACGTCCACTGATGTGAAATACACGGTGTGGACCAAACTCGCTTGCAAAGCAGCTTAGGAAACAAGATTTCCGTCAAGCACCCTAAGCAAACTCAGTATGTATGTGTGTGCACATGTGTGTATGTGTGGACACAGATGTGTATATATATATATTTTTTTTTTTTTTTTTTTTTTTTTTTTTTGGTGGCCGAGTGGTTAGAACATTCGCGTTCTGACCATGAGATTCGGGTTCGAATCTCACCAAGGTTGATTTGTCAGGAAAGAGACTTCCAGATGTTATCAGACTGGAGGAAGCGATCCCAGCGTGCGGCACCTTTGAAAAACCTGAATACCCTACCACGGGTTGACCTAAGCCTTGTGAGTGAAAGTGGGTAGATGAAACTCTTGGGGAACCGTTGATAGCTGTGCTAGCACGAAGTCACAAGTCATCGTGGTCGAGGGTTTCAGATTGCTGATCACGCGAGATAACACGCTCTTTCCCAGAAACTGTAACTAAGGTCTGCTCAACATAGATGCAGTACAAACTACAGGTTGGCTTTGTGGGTGTTGAACAAACACGAATATGCCTGAGCAAGCGTCTGCAATAGGGATTGACTAGCCGCCCCAGTAGACGAATATCCTCGAATACGAGTGGCCAGTTATTATTATATTTGTGTCATAGATCTCTGGTTAATTCTCTGTGTGTGTGTGTGTGTGTGTGTGAGAGAGAGAGAGAGAGAGAGAGAGAGATTGGCTTGTTAGTCGGTACTTTCTTTTGGTCGTGGCCCAGTTCTCGTTTCAGTTCTCGGATGCTTTTTCGTTTTCAACAGAATCCTCGGTCCTTTTTTTTTTTTAGCGTTTCACCCCCAAGCAAGGCGGGTGGGGGGACTACGAGCACGCAAGGGGTTACAGAGAATTGGAGCGAGAGCAAAGAGGAGTGATAGAGGAAAAGATGAAGAGAAGACTAGGGGATAGATCAAGGCAACTGGAGACGTCGATTGACATTACATTTGAAGAGCTGGAGATTATAGCTATCAGGAAAACAGGAAAAGAGGAGGGAGTTCCACAGGCGAGAAGTGCGAGACATGAATCTATTGGAGTAGAAGAGACGACTACATTTAACAGTTTTGTCAGTGAAAGGGTGAGAGCGAGAGGTCAGCCTAGTAGAACGCTTAAATTTATGAAGTCTGGGAACCAGCAAAAGCAGTTCATCGGGGCAGTTACCGTGAATGTATTTGTAAAAAAGACAGAGGGAGGCGACGGCATTTCTGTGAGAGAGTGACTGCGGACGAGATGCCAGATCAGGGTCAATTACATTGCTTATCCGTGTCTGGATTTTATCAAGGACCTTGAGACAAATGAGTATCCATATGCCTTTATGCTGAACTAGGCTCATGAATATTAATAAGCATCGCCTGAAACGTAACCACAACGTAGAGAAACAACAAGCTCACGCGTGCATGCTGAATGTCACGCTGTCATACGCACATGTGCGTACACTCAGACGCATATAGACAAATAAGCTCTCGCACCCTCAGAATGACACACGCGCATATATTCCTACGCATATGCACACAAACTATCGTAAGCCCCCATCTACGCACATTCATACATATTCAACGCGCACATACACTGACTTACATCACTTTGAAACGCCAGTTCCGAAGTTAAGCATCGTCAAGCCTGGTCAGTACTTAGATGGGTTACGGTTTGAGAATATCCGCTGGAATGTTTCTAGTGGTGTAATAAATAATGGCTTGTTAATCGGAGAGCCGAGTTCCAATTCACGTTATATTCACTTAACCCGCAAATACCCATGGGAAAGGTATGAATCCACCACATCTCTCCCCATCTATGGGTTAATCAGTATGAGTCGTATCACTAAACCATAATTACGTAAAAAGAAAACGAAATTCTTACAATCTAAAAAAAATCTGTCTGGCTTCAAATAACCGACATCGATCAATCAAATACATACACTTAAATGCTTATACCCCCGCATAGTCTCATGTACACACACATACACACACGCAAGCACTCATACATATTCACACGCATATACATTCAAACGCTCACGCTCTCGAATACTTTCAGGTACACACACACTCACACATTCACATTCATACATAGTCACACGCACGTACAATCAAATGCACACACTCCAGCATACTCTCATGTACATACACACACACACACACTCATGCATATTCACACGCACATACAGTCAAACGCTTACACTTCCGCATATTTTCATATATGCACACAAATACATAAATATTCTTACGCACGCACACGCAAACGCTTATACTCTCGCATACTCTTATATGCATATATTTATACACATTCACGCGGTCATATACTCACGCACTCAACCACACAAACACATACATACTCAAATCTACACTCACACTCCTTGAAATGCTAATACAGATACACTTATACATATTCACACGTAAACAAATACTCCGGGAGAAGCATACACACTCTCACAGGTGAGCACTCACACACGCACAATTACATGTACAGACACTCATGCACACAAACACACAAACACACAAACAAATACATGTGTACTCACTCATAGTCGCACACATTATCATTCACACAAACAATCATGCACACAATCCTCACATACATTTCATACACACAGATACACAAACATGTGCACATATATTCGCTTA